ATAGGCTCAAAGTGAACGATCCGGGTGTCGTTCTATTAGAGGTTTTACGGTAATCATCTCCTGATTAGGTTGAACAAAATTATTTCCCAAGTGGCCCGGGTCTTCCAGGAATGGGTGTAGTAGTTCTGACCGATTCGTGAATGACCACACCACGACGGAAGCGGAACTCTTTGTTTTGTTTTTTATGGTGCTGAAATTTTCAGTTATATTTTTGATTTCCTCTTTTTTAGTCTCACCTTGATAGATTCGGAAACAACCGTATTGAGCATCGCTAGGGCGAAGATGAGGAAAATAGACAGATGAATTTTCATTTTTTCTTGTTTTCTAGGTAGGCCTCACTGTTACTTTTATACTTTGACCAAGTTTACGAAACATCTAAAGATTTTTTTGTTAAAGTTTACTTAAATGCGTTACCAGTCAACGGATTAATTCTTTCCATTCCACATACAGAGAAAACAGGAAATAGAACACATTTTTCTTTGGAGTTTGATATAGAAAGGAAATAAAAAAGATTCCAAAAATTTCAGTTTCAAAAAAGCGGTAAGCATGAGCTATGATTTTTCTCAAATGGTCTCTTAGATTTCCCAGTTTCAAGAATGAAAATTTTTTCAGGTTTCAAATTTTTTCATGTTCCACACGATTGTTTTTATGTGCTTTTCGAATACTAACTAATAATGGATGCTTTCAAAAACTTTTTCACAGATTCCAGCCAAAATATAACATTTTCTGGCATGTTCGTAAAATGTTTTCAGTTAGGAACGTTTTTTTCTAACGATAAAACATATAAACTTGAAGATTTATACAGAGCTTTTCAAAGTATGCAGCAAATGAATAGGAATATTTTTTGTTGCAAGGGGTTTTCAAGTTTGAGCAAGTTTGAGTTTTTTTACTTTGATTTTTAAAACACAATTTTGTAAGTTTCAAAATAGCGAAGATAGATATTCAAAAAATATGTCTGCGTCTCCACCTAATATGTGCTATTTGCCGATTCGAGGTTCCTGCACCTCGCATAAAATACTCTCTAACCTTGACTTTTTCAGACAACAATAATATCTAGATATTTTTCCAGAAAACTCTGTGTTAAATTTTTTTAGTCAGTTTTTGAATATCCTTTTCTGTTTAAAGATTTTTTTCATATTTCACCATCTTGTGTTATCACCTCCTTAAAATAGTATTTTCGTTAATTACATTAGATACCGTTTATTTCATGCATTTCTCAATTATTTAATAACATCATTTTTAAATCATTTTCCACCAAGGGGTGAGCCTGGGAACTTCATCAACATTCTACTAGTAGTTCCATTGTTCATGACTGAGCCTTCTTGGGAAACGAGATCTGAAATTAAATATTGAACTTTTTTTATCTTTTAGTAAATTTTACCTCCTTTCTCCTTTTTGTGCATCTTCTAGATTGCGGATTTTAGTTTTATGACGTCCCATTTTCTGGAATTTTCTTCGATTTAGCTTACTACTTCAAAAACTATGCTAACCTTTCCAACGAGTTTGGAAGTTTTCTCCGATTCCGCAGAAATCACATCACAAATCATCAAAGCAAAAATGAAAAGAATGGCGAGTTGAATTTTCATTTTTGAATATCAGAGTTCGATATCCAAAGAGCTATGACTTTTGTTTTTATACCAATTGAAGAACAAACTTCCTTATTTATTTTCTCGCAAAACATCAGTGTCAGGTGTTCGTTTTCAGTGTTGATTGAGGTACTTCTCGGGGTGTCAGTTGGGTCAATAAAGTGAACAAAACGAAAATATTGGGTAACCATAATCTAAAACCTTAAGATGAGAGTAATGACCGGGAAGTTGATGACTTTGGTGTGTGACGAAATATTTGAGCTTCAGGAATTGTAATTTTTATGAGGTGGAATTCAAAAAATATTTTTTCTGGAGTATTTGATTTCAGTTCGTCAATTTTCAGATTTTTCAAAGCAAAATTTTTGAAAAAAAAAACTTATTCAAATAAGTGGAACAATCTAACAATGAATTTGGAGAGCGGAAAAAAGCTGGCCGCGGACTAGGATGAATCTCCTCTTCCACCTTAAAAAATCAAATATCCCAATTTTTGCGAAGCATTCAAAAAATTCCCAAACAGTGCAACGAAAATTCAATGCCATTATTAAATAGTCAAAGTTATTCATTCTAACATGATTTCGAAACCGTAATTCCGGTTAACAAATCCGAAAAACTTTGTGAATACATTTTTCAAATTTCGTAGGATATATGAACGTAGAACATTAATACTTCAAGAAATTTATTTCATGATATCTCAGAAAACAATAATTTCTGTAAACAAACTTAAACTTTCTTCATGTGATTTCTATTATTTTCTCTACAAAAAATCAATAGAAAATGACGAAAAAATACTTTATTCTCAAGAACTCATTCAATTGAACCAATTTTTCAGAGTAGTCTTTTTTCCAGTGAACGGACGAAAATCTCCTGGACGATGTGTTGTGACATGAATCCTCTCAGAACGTGCGACTAGGTTTCTGAAAATGTAAACAAATTTTGACTGTTTCTGTTTCTTTAAAATTACTCACTTTCTATTCTTTATGTAATCAGGCTGGATATTCGAATCCATGAGTGCCAAGCTGACACTTAAAAGAATCAGCATGAAAAATAGGAGAAACTTCATTTTCTATTAGAAAAAATAGAAAGTTCTCAGCTTTCTTTATACCCAGACCTCCGAGGAATAAACACTTGACCCAATATTTTTTTTATCCTCGCGGTTTGCTTTATTGGTTTTTGCAGATACTTGATAGTCTCAAAACAAACATACGTGGATTTTGAGATGGTATTCTCTAGTCAGGTGAGAATATGTGATAGATTTCCATCATGGATTCAATAATCGAATTCTGAAACTTGATAAATATTGTTTTCTAGGCTCAAAATACATTAAAATGTGTTACGATGATAAGGTACTACATATTTTCACCTAATCTCTGTTTTCGAAATAATGGGGAAAAAATCAATGAACACTTTTATAGAAAGCACACAAGACCCACCACTTCGTACATATCACATGCAATGAACTGTAATGAGCGAAACAGGGAATAATTTATTCTTCATTTTAACAAAATAATTTTGCGAAAATAATATATACAACTTTTCAGAAAGGGCTGACAATATACTAAAATTAGCGACTGAGATAAATAAAATTATGGACTAGAAAAGCTTTGTCCATTGTTATGTCAATCGCGTTCAACCGGAACAAAGGGAGCTGGAACAGGAAAAAAGTTTAAATTTATCTGTTTTTCATTGTTCTCAGATTTTAAAAAAGCTGCAATTCAAACTTGTTTTCAATTTTCATAGCGAAATATTGCTACCGAAAAACCTGTGATAGAATGGCCCATGTCTTTGGCTCAATTTAATCTTGATTCGTGTTAAATACATAAATCAAAATGTCAAGAACAATTTGTTAGTTTATCGTTTTTGATGCCTATTACTATGAGCTATAGAGAAAAATTGGCTCAAACATAACTGTGTCTGAGAAGCTTTTATTAAATGCTTCACAGAAATGTTATGTCTTCAACTGCTGCAAATGAAATAATTTTAACAAATGCATTGCCTGATACAAAACCATTTCAATTAGAGCAAGATTGTTCGGAAAATCAGAACATAGTCAAAATTTCCAATTCATAAAATTTCAAATTCAAAATTCTGTTTTAAATAGTTATTGTAAGGCGACTTCATATTTTGAACTTAGTTTACAAGATTCATGTTTTTTTCAAGACATCTGTTTAAAATTTTCGGTTTCAATCACATGTTAGTATTTGCTGCAGTTATTGAAATGTGCTCGGAATCCATTTCTTCGGTACGAAATAAACGGAGCTATAGAAGAGAAACGCCGGCGGCCGTTTTCGACGACAACTAGTGTTTTCTGTAAAAAAAAAAATTTTTCATCATAAAAATTATTACTTCCCAACCTTTTGCGGGAAAACCGAATAGCGGTAAAAACGAGAAAATAAATGCGGAAAATCAAGGTTTTTTTAGGTTTTGGTCGTTTTCGTTGTGGAACCTTTGTCCACGGCCACCGGCGTTTCTCTTAGACAGCCCCAGCTTTTTGTACCAGCATAATAGTTGCTGTAAAACCTGTTTCAAGTGCATCATGAAATCAACACTGTTAATGCTAATATACTATATTTGTGCATGGCCGGATATATTTTTTTGAAATTCACTATTCGGTTTGTCCAGCATACAACTCCTTCATCTAGTTAAAAATATCGTTCTAAAACTGAATTAAAAATGCTGTGTGTTTAATTTCAACCCTCAATAACAAAGTTCCATGATTCCGAAAATCACACCAATTATCTCGTGATACTCGAACATCTCCCTGTGCTGATAATTTCAAAATAACAACTCTTTTGAAACAAGAAGAAAAAAGTGAAAAATAATTCAAATTTTCTAAACATTTCGTTCACAGTTTTGGTTCTGAAATTTTACAAAAACTACAATTCAAACTAGTTTTCAAGTTTTTTTTAAACGAAATATTGTGACCGTAAAACCTTTAATAGAAGGGTCCATGTTACTGACTCAGATTTATATCGGTTCGTGTGAAACACTTCAAAAACTGAGAAAATGATTTAAACTGGCAAACTAGCAAAATCTTTATCGAAAGTCAAGAACATTTTATCAGTTTATCACTTTCTGATACCTCTTACAGAATGTTTATGTCCGTCATTGCTGAAAAATAAAAAATAAAAGTGTCTCAAAACAAATGTACTACTTTATGCAAAACCATGTTAGCTCGGGAGTTGTTTGAAAATGGTTCTGTTTCAAAGAGTTATTGCAGTGTGGCTACTATACTTTGAACCTATTGTACAAGCCCTAATTATTCGTAAAAGTATTATGAAAATTATTCGTTTCATTCATTGCAGTGTTTGCTGTAGTTATTGGAACTTGCTCTTGAAATTGGCCCTTTCAATTATTATCATTTTAAAAATGGGAAAAAGAAATTTGAGTTCCGCAGAACTTGATGATTTAATAACATTTTCTTTTAGAATGAGATTTTTCAGTTGTAGACAATTTTCAGAAATTCCGTGGTTGTGTCGATTGATTATACAACTCCTTTAACTTCTAGAAAAGATCACTTTCTGAAACTGAAAAAATATTGCGTCTTCAAACCCCAATAATAAAGTTCCATGATTGCAAAAATCACACCGATCATCTCGTGATACTCGAACCTGTGCTGATAATTTCAAAATAACAAGTCCCTTAAAATAATAAAAAGGGAAAAACAATTCAAGATTTTTTTATTTTTCGCCTGTTGTTTCATGGGGTATTCATACCCTATACGTCATTGATGATAAGTGATTGCGAGAGAGATGTTAGAGAGAAGAGCGTGGGGGCGAGAGAGACACAGAGAGTGATAAATTATACAGATGGGGGAATTACAGATAAAAAGCGATTCTGGGGAGGGGGAGGAGCTGCACCTTTAGCTGAAGCGCTAAATGATATTTTGCGAGAGAAAATTTTAGATGGGAGGCTCATCGAAACAGAGAAAGTGAAAAAAGGTAACAAGAAAAAATAAAACAAGAAAAAAGCTTTTCGAATATATAAACAAAAACATGAGAACGACACATATTACCCAATTCGGTTTTTTTGTTTGGTGATTTTGTGTGTTTGATAGGGAAAACCGGACTGAGAGGGAAGGGGGAACATGGATATGTTTGGGTCATGTTTCTACACGCTTTTACACACATTTTACAGCTGAGAGGACATTTTTGGGGGAAAAATAGAGGATTTTTTAAATTTCAGAGAAGTTAAAGTTAGAGAAAAACGAAAGCAAGAGCGGGAGCGCGGGGAGAAAGCATCTAGAGGTGGTTTTGAGGGGGCGATTCTAATATACTACTTGGTAGTTTTGTCTAATTCAGTTCAATGTCTTCCATATCGACATTTGTCTGGTCCTTCCGCTTCTTGTGATGCTGAAAATTAAAGTTATTCCACTTTGAATGGAAATAAATTTGAGTCATAGTCAGTTACCGTATTTCCTCTAATAGATTCTAACCGTCAACTTTGAGCTCAAATATCTCAAATCCTGTGAAGGATATCAAAAAATTGTCAACTGATAAACTATTCATCGTAATATCACCAACATTTTATCAGTTGACAGCATTTTGATATCTCTTATAGTAACAAAGATAATTGAGCTCAAAGTACATACATAGGATGGGTTCTATTAGAGCATTTCCGGTAGGATGGAGTCAAAGTCGAGTACATGATCAACTTTTTTTCCAAATTCTTGGTTTTTTAGGCCACGCCCCTAATGCTCACCTTCTTTCCCTCCTTATCAACACTCTTTCCACGAGCGACTTGTTTGATCTGCTTGAACGTCTTCCTCTTCTCCTTTTGCTCTTTAGCCCAGTCGGCCGATTTCACAGATTCCGCGGTTTCAGCGGCTGCTTCTAAACAACACAAAAATAGTTTTTTGATGCAACACTGTCAAATCCACTCACTCTTTTCCTGATGCTTCTGATGACGGTACTTGCGGTAACTGGCACGCCAGCGTTCGGCAGCCTCGGCAGTCATTGCTGGTGCGGTACGCCCGAATGCGGCCTTCTCGCTCTTCTCCATTCCAAAGGCACGGAGAACGCGGAGCTGAAAAATTAACAATTCCAAACTCTAAATTCTAAACTCTAGGCTTACATGGTTCCCAATGATGAACATTCCTCGCATCCAGAGCGACTTTCCAGATCTACGAAGAGTCAAAGCACGAGAGCGAGCACGAACATTGTAGTCTCCGTTAATGTGAAGTTTTGCTGGCTGAACATCTCCCTTTCCAACCTTCCAGGCCTTTGGCAGCTTCTTCGATGGAATAGTGGCCACAATTTGTCCCCAGATGAGAGTGGAGAATCCGAGAACAAGACAGACAATCCATTGTTGAAGGGTGAGTGGATGGGTAGAGAACCAGGCTCCTCCGAATTGAATGATGATGATCTGAGCAATGAATGTTGTGATCCAGATGACACAGAACACACGATTGGCTGCGAGTCCCTTGAAGACATTTCTCTCTCCGTGGACCTTACGAGCATTGATTTCATTGAACACTGTCATCATAACAAAGGCGTTGAAGACAAGAGTGAAGTGCTGGGATGGTGGGGCAAAGAGTGGAGCATAAAGTCCGGTTGGAATTCCAAAGATGGTATCTCCATAGAAGAAGATAACAAAGATAATGATAAGTTGGTAGATGGCATGACACAGGATATTCTTGACCATGGTTCTTGAGATGAGAGACTTCTTACGTCCATATGGTTTTCTTTCCAAGAGCTCATCGGTTGGTTGCTCAGTAGCAAGAGCCAAGGAGGCGAGGGTGTCCATGATAAGATTTATCCAGAGCATGTGAACGGCTTTCAATGGAGAATCAGAGACAGTCACGGCTCCGATGAAGGCGGTGATGACAGCGACAACGTTGACAGTGAGTTGGAATTGAAGGAATTTCGAGATGGAATCATACACATTTCTTCCCCACATAACAGCTTTCACGATGGAAGTGAAGTTATCATCAGTCAATATAATATCAGAAGCCTCTTTGGCAACATCAGTTCCAGCGATTCCCATCGCAAATCCAACATCAGCCTTCTTCAGCGCAGGTCCATCATTGGTTCCGTCTCCAGTAACAGCCACAATTTCCCGTTGAGCTGTAGCCTTTGAATCGATGATTCCCTTGACCAAAGTGTACTTATCAGCTGGTTGAGCACGAGCCAACACACGAAGACGTGGCCAGATCTCATCGAGTTTTGCCTGCGAGACCTTTCCATTCTCATCACGGATACGTTCGTTGAATTCTTTGCCCTCAAGAGCCAAGAAATCCTCTCCAGGTTCCAAGATTTTACAGGACATCGCAATGGCTCTGGCGGTCATGATGTTGTCTCCAGTGACCATTCGCACAGTGATTCCAGCTCGTTTACATTTTGCAATCGCTGTTGGAACTTCCGGACGAACTGGATCCTGAATACCACAGATGGCGATTCCCGTGAAGTTTTGGTACATTGCTTCCTCATCGTCCCAATCGATATCCGACTCTTCGGCGAATTCAATCTGCAAGAAACGAGAGAATTAGGGAATAGAAAAAAGCCAAAGTTTGATCATGGCGGGCGGGAAGAAGAAAACTGTAGATCAGAAAGACAGAAAAAGAGATCCTGTTTCGGCGAACTACTGATAAATATATTTATAAATGTACAACCAATTTCTGATGTGATGATTCTTCGATATTTAGTCTCAAACTGTTACTAATTGACCAATTAATTTCAAAACAAGTACCAAAAAAGAGAAAGAAGAACTTGTGATCGTTCAGAGATTAAAAGTTTTGCAAGGACCGATGATAACCTGATAAGAAGTTTATCAAATTTAGAAATTTCAAAAACTACTGTTTCATCTAGAAAGTAAAAATTGTGCTAACATTTCTTGGTATTCATTTTAATATTTTCGCAAAATTAGAAAGTTCCAAATATACTGATTCATCTAGAATGTGAAATTTTTGCTAATTTTTCTCGGGATTCATTGAATTCAATTTAGATTTCTTACCTCGGTCTTCTCCAAGTCTCTAGTTCCTTTCCGGATGAATGTCTTATAAGCCACACAGATCGTTCTCAATCCACAGTTGGCCATTTCATGAATAATCGTTGAAGTGATCTCCTTCAAACGATCCCCAGTCAGCTGATGTGGCTTTCCGTCGGATCCCAAAAGATATGTGCATCTGCCAAGAACAATTTCCGATGCTCCTTTACAATAGACACGATATCCAATGTTGACTCCGTTCTCCATGTATGGAACCACAGTCATCATGCATTTACGAGAAGAGTTAAAGGTGTATACTTTGGTCAGATCGTGTTCAGGGAACTTCTTTCTGATGGCAGCGTAGTCTCCACCAAGACGGTTGACGAATCCAAGAAGACCACATTCTGTCTTGTTTCCGAGCTGCTGTACTTGCTCTCCAACCTTCGTTGGCTCCACGATCATCGAGTTATAGGCAGAGTTCACAGAAATGGCTTCCATGAGAACTGGTCCAGTGACTCCTGGAAGATTGGCTCCGTGTGGTTGAGCTTCTTGACTGGTGTAGTGATTTCCGTTGATGTAAGACTGCACAACAGTCATTCGGTTGGTGGTAAGGGTACCAGTCTTGTCAGAGCAAATCGACGTGGCATTTCCCATGGTCTCACAAGCGTCCAAGTGACGAACTAAGTTGTTATCGTGCATCATCTTCTTGACAGAGTAGGTGAGAGCAAGAGCAATAGCCAATGGAAGTCCTTCAGGGATGGAAATGACCAGAATGGTGACGGCGATGATGAAGAACTTGACGAACATTTGAATGTCGACTAGGGAGAACTCATTCTTCTCGAAGACATAGTGTTCAAGACAGAAACGAGTGATCAAGACAATCAGGGCGATGACAGCAATGGTAGTTCCGCAGTAGATGATCTGGAGAGCCAACTTGGAAAGTTTAGCTTGGAGCACAGATTTGGCGGTGAGATCGTCATCTCCAGATTTGGAGCTATCCGAGCTGCCATTGGAAGAAGATCCGGATGAACTGGATGATGATGAAGAGCTAGACGATGTTGATGTAGAGTCATCATCGTCGATTCCAGCTTTTCCAGCTCCCAGAAGTGTCATGATGATACCAGTTTGCGAGTTGACTCCGACAGCGGTGATAACCATTTTTCCAGAACCTTCCATAGCATAGGTACCAGAGAGAAGGACTGGATCAGACTCGACGCTTTTCTTAATGTGATCGGATTCTCCGGTAAGAGATGATTCATCGATCTGGAAGTTTTATTTTAGTTGGTTAACTTCGACAGTCCATGTTGGACTGGAAATGTGGGCTCACCTTCAAATCATTACTCTGAATCACAAATCCATCAGCAGGCAAAAGATCTCCATACTTGACTCTGGCAATGTCTCCAACCACCAGATCCGAGACGGGCACGTCGATCGCCTCGCCGTTTCGAATGACCGAAAACTTTTGTCCCGTCTCAATCTTCTCCTGCAGACTTCTAAACTGTCGTTCTTTCGAGTAGTCGTTGACAGCGGTGACCAGTACGACGACAATGACACACAGCAGAATGGCGACTCCTTCGATCCACGCGGTGCCGTGTCCCTCAGAAGGCGCTTCGGTTGTCGAGAAGATGCCGGTGCCGTTGGCGAGAATAGCTGCCGTCGTCGCGTTGACCAGATGTTGTGTTGCATCCTCGGCCGCCGATGTCGGTTCGTAGAATGATAGAGCTAAATTGATGAAGCCGGAAAGTACGAGGATGATAAGAGTTGGGTCCTGAAAAGTAGCATTTGTTGATTCTGCGAGTACGCTGCTAATCAAATTGAATTCTGTTGGAATTTATTTTCTAAAACACATGAAACAAAGTTTTGAAACGTTCAAGATAGTCTTAATCAGAATAATAAGTAGTTGTTGGTTCAGAAAATCCCTGGAAGTCAAAACATTTAACTTCATGTTCGGAGTTATTTTCCCCATGAAACAGAATCTTCAAGAAACACAAACCTTGCACGCATCGATAACGAGCCGCACGAATCCCTTGGATTTGGCCGGTGGAATAGTGTTGGCTCCGTAGACATGTCGACGTTTATCGAGATCCGCTTGCTCTCCGCTCAAACCCACCAACGAGTCGGTTTTCAGCTTCTTGCACAGTCCCTCAACGCCTTCATGTTCTGTTGACAGCTGAAAGTGAAGGTTTAAATCGTATCAGCTGATTGTGTGGTATTTATATTACACCACCATATGCGTGTATGTTTATCACATATACAATTTCCAAAGTTATAGGTCACTTCAAACTTTCCATTGTCTTCTTTTTAAAAATTTCTCATTTCAAATCTACAATCTGTCAAGGCCGACGCACCCATTTTTGGCACGGTCAGCAGGTAGAAAAAAGAGAAATTTGAAAAAATGGGATAAGGCAAAGAGACATTAGAGACAAAGTGTCACAAATCAGAATGACGTTGGTAGACTAATAGGAGAACGAAAATTTAGAAGTGAACAAGTGATTTTTTTTTATCTTTTTGGTTCTTCCACTTTTTTAAATGTAATGATCCTTTAAGTGCAACGGATCAATTTTGCAACAATCTTCTAGACCAAAACATTAATGAAAATTTTTGGTTTTCAGTTATTAATAAGGCTTTCATTTCGGTTGGTCCAAACTTGGCCATCCCGAACCGACAGCCTACCGATAGCCGACCGCCAGCCGATCGCCGGCCGACCGACAGCCAACCGAGCTGACCGATCGATTAGCGCGCCAACCAAATTTGTGCATTTCCGCATGAGATCAGCTAGTTCGGTGGTCGGTCAGTCGGCTGAATTTCTCGACCGAATGGAAGCCTTACCTTTTAAAGTTACAGGATTCAAAAACCACTCACCCTGACTATCGCCTCAGCTCCGCGAGCCTCCATGAGTCCGCGAAGGTCGCCAAGACTGCAGCCAAATTCTTTAGCATCCTGAAAATATTTATTTTTGTAATCTAAAAAAATCATTCCAGCCAGCTAATTCTAAAAATCCCCAACCTTTTTACCCTTGGTTTCCCCTTTGGGTTCTCGTTTCCAAAAGTAGACAATAAGTCTGCCAACAAAACAAACGACGAGAATTATAGCAATAATGGGCATTATTATAATAGTGATGAAAAGTTTGTTGTTCTAATTTCAGACAACCCGCTAAAACTCGAAGAATAGACTAGAAGATGGTTAGACTGTGAGAGTAGAGGCATTGAAGAAATATAGAAGTTTGCCTTTTTCAATTGTGTGAACAACTTCCGAAAAAGTTGAAAGGGGAGAGTTTTTCGCCAAACAGAAGACCAGACGGTCAGACAAAAATCATCAGACGGTCAGTTTTTTCAGGTGGAAGGTCACAAGTTTCTTTGAAGTCGTTCGCTATGTTTTGTTGGCGTGCAAGTGAAAAGATTCGTCATTGTTTTTAACATTTTTCGAGATTTGATAGATCAATTATTTCAACGAATGACGTTTTTTTGTGATCTACTGCTTGATCTGTAAATATTTTACCTCATCATATGTATGAGCTCTTCGCAATCTCATCTAACTGTTCTGGCTTTTCTTCAATCAAGAAGTACGGTGTGGTGCACAGGAGAAGAATCTAGAGATAGATATGGTAGATCAAAAAGTTTAAGAAAACGTGAAAATCACATTGGGTCAAGAATCAAATTGATAAGACCCCACAGAGAACGCGGAAAAGGTTCAAGAAGGAACAAAAATTAATACGGCTGGTTCAAGAATCGAGAAGGTAGATCAAAAGTTAGACTAAAATTGGGTATCCATTACTAATTAGGTCAGGTATATTGGAAGAAAATGAGTGTCATCAAGGAACTAAACATCAAAAAGATTGCAAGACAGAAAAAAGGTTAACCTAGAAGAAAGATGGATTGGGGTAAAAGGAAAAATGAGGGATGGGAGTCAAGAATCAATGCAAAATTGAGGGATGGGGAGTCAAGAATCAATGCAAAATTGCTCTACTGATAAAAAAAAATGAAAGGCGTCTAAAGTCCCAAGCTTAATGATATGGCAGGTCCTAAGCTTAAGGATAAGGTAATCTGAAAGTCTATACTTAAGCTCCAGCTGGATAATTTAAGCCTAAACCTAGCTTTAATAAGCCTAGCATAGCTTTAAGTGTGGCCTTGCTTTAACTTTAAGTCTGAACTTAAGATTGAACCTCATCCTAACTGCAAGAAATGAGCCTAAACACTGGAGATACTGAAAGCATAAACTGTAAGATGGCTGTTTAGAACATCAGAGCCTGAGCCTAAAGATAGTAAGCTGAAGGGTAAAAAAGAAACAAGAAGTGGGCCTAAGCCTAAGAATTCTAATTTAGATGTTTACAATCTAACAAGCAAGGTATAACATGACTCAAATGTGAGGT